TCGTTATAGTTTTTTGATTTTATTTTTTTTTAAATTTTATTTTATCTTGTCTAATTTCTTTAATTTTTGTTTTTTTTATCCTTCTCAACTGTGGCGTTTGTCTCATATCCACTTCATGTAGTTAGAATTAAATGTCTGCCTTTCTAATTTATTTGGTTATTTATCTCCTCCTTTCCTAGTTCGCATTTCTCAAACTCTGGTGCGCTGCTTACTGCCTTCTGAAAAACTTTAGTCATAAAGAATTTTTGCTTTTGTCTCTGCCATTTATCATCGTAAGCCACAATGTGTCTCTATTATGTGCTCTGGATTCCAAAAGCTTCTTTAGTTATTATAACTTGTTGTTGTTATTACTATTTTCATTATAGTGTCTCATCCACAAGTTGTCACCTTTGTTGTAAATGCACCGTTTGTTTAAGTTATTGTCTTTAAGTTGAAGGTTAAGTAGAACTTCTTGCCTTTAGTTGGCTCGATTCGATGAAACACATTCGTGTGTTTTGACCATCTTATTTCTCTTGACATTTAGCTGGCTTATCTGGATCTCAAGCAGTTGCCCCACACCTGTATGCATACATACACACATACATACATATACAAGTGTATCCTTACTCATGTCAGCTTTGGCTCATGTTATGTTTTGCTCTTGTTGTACTTGTTAACCTGCGCAAAGTTTTTGGGATCATTCAAAGTTTTCGCTGCCAGCTATTTAAGTTGTTGTTGTTAGGCGTTGGCTTTATGTTGATAGGCCGCAGACATTAAATGCTCGAGGGCACAAAGACTTTCTACTCACATAAAGTAGCAACTGATTTTGCGCCCTCCCTTAGCTGCTGCCTCACACCCCGCTCTTGCCTTGTCTTCTTCTCCTTTGCTGCTTAGCTGACTTTCTTTGGTATCGTGCTTGGGTTAAGTGTGAAAATCTTATTTCAAGTACAAAAATTTATTTGATTTGCTATCAAAGGTGTTGTACGTCTATAAGGGCAGCAGTTGTTGCTTTGGCTTATTCTCTTATTGTTCATGTTTTTGTTTTTGTGTTGTCATTTTATTAGCTGTTATTACTTCTTTACTGACTCGCTTTTCTTTTCCTTTTGTTTATTGCCAAAGTTTTATTTGTTTAATTAAATAATTAAAAAGTTATATGCCTGGGCGTGTTGAGGGATTTTCTAGAAATGAGGTGCGATATTTGGGCTTTGGTGGATTTGGTGGTTGCAATTTTGAGGTTAACTTTTATGAAAGGATTAATTTTGCACGGTGTCGTGAGTTCTGTCATGAAAAATTAATAAAGTTATAATTAACAGTTGAAAGAGGCGTAAAGTACGAACGAGAATTTCTACGCTAAGCTTTGTTGTTGATTTTAAACAATTTTTTTTTTTCGTCTTATAAGAGGGAGAAGACAGAAACCTTCTCATCAATCAAAGACGCTCCTTTCGCTTCTTCCCTTTGTTTTTTTTAGCATCATTTGGACATACCAAGTGAGGTCTCTACCTCATCCTTCAAATGGACTGGAGGGTGTTTCCCCTCCTATGTACGAAGGGCCATAAATCGTTCGCAGAACTTTTCTTTCGAAAACCGACTCATCGAATGTCGACATCGTCCACGCTTTGTACCATAAAGCAGAACGTGCTTGATGAGTGACTTGTAGAGTTATGTTTTTTTCACCGAGAGTGGACTTTACTTTTCAATTGCCTACCGAGTCCGAAGTATCACCTGTTGGCAAGAGTGATTCTGCACTGAATTTCTAAGTTGTTCCAAGATAGATGAAGTTATCTATGACTTCAAAGTTTTGACTGTCAATAGTGACGTGGGAGCCCAATCGGAAAAGCGATGACTTAGTCTTATTCGTATTCACTGCCAAACCCATGCCCTTCGGTTTACTTTTCCAATATGAATAAAGTAGTTGTTAAGGCCTATGGCAGCAGGTGTACAATCCTGTTAAAAATTTTGGCTTGTCTACCTTATTATTATCTTCAGTATCTGAAAGCTCGTTTGGTATCGAGCGACTTGGAGAGGTTTTTCCCCATTATGACTGCGGTGCTGATGTTGTGCAGTCTCAGTTTGCACAGCTGTCCAAGTTTTGCAGTAGTACCAGAGACCCTGCTCTGTACTGTGCTGGGGAAATCGGCGAAAAGGTCATGTGTAACAATCCTTTTTCACAGGCCACATCAGTTTTCAAGCGGGCGATTGGTACTCGAACATCGACGCAGTCGGCCAATAAAAGATCTAAGCTTTGGTTACTAGATCACCTCTTTGTAATCTGCAGGAGTATGCTCTGGTCTTGAAACCTTCTGCAAGCCGTCGTACCGTTTTATAGAGTTTGCGAGTATTACCCTTGTCGGCCAGCTTTTCATACTCACCCATCCCGGCACTGCGACACGGCAATCCTCATCGTACCTGCTGTTTTTGGAATAGTTTCGTTTGTAGCTTTATGTAGAGAGTTGGAAGTTCTGTCCCATATTTCTCTTATACTGAGTTGTTGATGAGGGCTCTCAGAGACCAAGAGTGCGTGACGCGTCGAAAACCGTTCGGCTCTCTGTCGGGATTGCTGTTTTTCGAGGTCGAGGTCTTTTTTTGTTGACGAGGTTTATTTTTTGCATAGAGGCGGGTGCGCATTCTTGCTGCTACAAAATAGTAGTTCGAGTCGATGTTGGGACCGCGAAGTGTACGCACGACGAGAATACTGGAGATATGTCGTCCGTCTATCACCACATGATCGATCTGGTTGCGAGTGTTGTGATGTATAGACAGCCAAGTAGCTTGCTGTTGCTTGTGCTAGAACATAGTACTACAGACAACCAGATTTCGGCCCCTGGGAAAGTCGATCGGCCTAACCCATTTTAGAAAGTTCGTTATGGAGGATGAATTTTACGACAATTGTATCAAATATACCTACTTTGGTCACTCTGGCATTAAAATCGTCAAGCACAAATTTTACGTCGGTGCGAGGGCAACACTCATAAGTTTGCTCCAAGCGCTTATAGATCCTTGATCACAGCGTCATTATCTTCTGTCAGCGTTTAATTTGTCAAGTACATCATCAACGACACCTAACCAGCGCACAAGCACGCTGGACGACCCCTACGGGTTAGGGGTTCAAGAATTTATTCGCGGTAAAGCATGCCTGTCGTAAGAGGCGACTAAAACCAATAGTTCCTGCGGCAGTCGGGTCTTTATACCTGAACGACCCGGATTTTTCCGGCCAAGGACTGTCACTCCCGCAACATTCCCCAAAAAGCACTTTTGAGAATCTTTTTGCGGTTACAACAACAACAACAAAACCCAGACCCGCTCGCAGCTGCACCTGTGGCGGAAGGACGCTGCAATTGGACTTTAGTTGAATCCACAATGATATCGGAGTGACTTCACTGAAGCTTCCTCTCTTTTGGCCTTAACCCACAGGCGTTGGTTTCCGCATCTTGCATAAGGGTTGCTCATATTTCCGTGGCGCGTGACGTAGGCGAAAAAATGGTAATAGTCCAGTGACTGTAACCGCATACCCACAAGCTTCTCTACACGCAAAATCGCTCGCACGCATGCACAAAATTTCAAATAGCAAATCCAAACACAAGAGAGGTTGTTTGGAATAGATCGGTCACAGGCCCACTTCGAGCAGAAAAAGTAAACCCTGTGTATAAAATCAAGTATATCGAACAATAAATAAGATTTTATTTTTGCGACTCCTTCAAAAATATCGAAATTTCACAGGAAAGCTCTCCGGGGTATAGCATGAATGAAACTGTACTAAAAATTTGAACAAAGCCAGCTTAGTAGTTTTGGAGTCTACTGGCGGCATAAACACGTATACATATATGTATATTCGAGGGGATCAATAAAAGTTCGGTAAGTTGACCAGAAAAAGGAGAAGATTTCGATAAATCGTAGCTCGTTCTCTATGGAAAAATGTCCGGTCTGTAATCTGCGGAACCACTTAGGGATAGCATGTAAAGACGGTACAATCGTTCCATATGCAATTTGCCATTCACTGAATATTTGTATTGGCGAATTCCTGCTTGTGTTGGTGGGGGAATTTCGTGTGACCCATCCTCAGTTATCTTTAGTTTGCTTGTCTCCATTTTAGCCTTTTTTCTTTTTTTTTTTTTGAATTCTTTTCGTATTTTTATTTAGGTTGCCTGTTCGTGGGCATTACTACATTCATACATAATATTCCATTACATAAAATTAATTGAAATTACTAATTGAAACAACATGACTAATCGCATTACAAAATGTCAACTCGCACATTTAACACACCTGCCAAGTTGCCTACCTTGGTGCTCAGCTCCTCAAAGTCGCCGTGTCTGCTACTGGATGTCTTATGAGTGGAGTAGCGAGACGCTGACGTCACTTGAATGCATGACATTTTCCATGTTGTTGTTGTTATTGCTGTTGTTGTTGTAAATGTTTTGACTTAATTAACCGCCAGGCGAGTAATTAATTTAAATTGAGCTAAGCAAACAACTCAGCTGGCATGTGAAATGGCCTACGCAGCAGAGAAGGGGGAAAGAGAGAGAGAGAGAGACTGAATCGCATTGGTAGCGGAGTTGTTGTTGTATAAGAAATTAGAAATGGCAAATTAAATATACGATTACAAGACACAACACGGCCTACTTTGACAACTGCGTTGCAGTGTGACAGCGTACCTATGTGACGACTGAGTGACAGGGCATGTCATTGACTACTGTCATACCTGAGTCGATTAGGTTTTGTCCTTGCCTTTACTATGCTGCTGTTTTTGTGGCGTGCTTTTTATTGTCAAAAAAAAAGTAAAACATGTCGCAAGATAACAAATAAATTAATTTAATTTGAGCTCACTGCATGGCTCAATACCCTTGTTATACATATAGACATGTATATAATTTGTACATCCTTGTCTACTACATGTCCTTAACAGCTTTTACACAATTTTTAATTTGTTCAATTTTCTTTTTTTTTAACCAACCTTTATATATGTATTTATCTTTACTCCATTTTTAACACTTTTTTTTGGCATGTTTTTTGTATATTTCCAGTCCAACCGGTGCAACGCTGCGTACACAATTCGAAATAAAGGATTATTTATTGTCACCGGGTACCTGTAAATGTGGTCTACCATGTCCATTGCGGCCGGAGTATTTCTTCGATTTTAATGCTCAGGTGAGTAAGCGCACTTTTTTCTGTTTTTTTTTTGTTTTTGTAATTCGCCGAAACCTTTTTCCACTCTATGTATGTGTGTGTGGCAACTAGCCACGGCAACTGTCTGTTTGTGGCATGCATACTGTATGTGGGAGTGTGTTATTGAGTTTTTGAATTGAATATTGAAAAACCCTTAAGTGCTAATACCAGCATTTTTAGCCCTTCGGCTTAGTCAGCAAGAATTCGCAGTTGGACTTTACCCTAACTGGACGTGCAAAAAATTAAAAAAAATCTATTAATAAATAATTGAAGTTCTTACCCGCAAAAAAAATTGGTTTCAGCTCCAACACTTCTTCCTTAGACTACACAATTCCAACCGACCTAAACGTTATGCTCTCACTTCCTAATTGAAGACACCAAAATGATACTGAAATGAGCAGATCTTCCTCATTTGGCCGACCTATCGACTTTTTTTCTGTTTAACTGCTGTGGATACCGCTTAACAACAGCGCTCCAAGTCCCTCTGTTCTCTATTGGTTCTCCTCAATGTGTGCTCACATCGTTGGGCATTAAGTCGGAGAGTTGAAATTGATATATCCAGTGTTGCCGGTGTCTCTATATTCGCTAAGTATCTCTCACAGCTCAACGTTCCCTCGACTGCGGAGCTCGCAGTTGTCAATAGCGTGTCTGTTGTTGGTTCATTTCACCATTTTAAGCCAATTGGGGGATACCAATGAAAGCCAAGTTAAACTCCTTTTGACTTTTTCAATGGAGTGCAGGCGTTTCCACCTCTCTGCGTCCACCGACGGTAACTGCCTCCAAGACTTTGCAGGCTGGAGTATAATTTTCCTTTCGGATCACATGATCTAGCGGGCGTTGCCGCTGTACTGCGGTAGTTAGATCCATTCCACCCTACTTGGGTGGGTCCCAGCACTAGGAAAAATCACTTTCAAGAGCAAACTGCCTAACTATATCGTTGACAGCATCAAAAACCCTGGAAACTCTTCTTATTTTTCTTCTCTTGAATCTGTAGAGCAAACTTCAAGCGAGTTGCGTATTATAAGACTGGATGCGGCTCAGCCGTTGAAGTATCGCAATTTAAGAAACGTTCGGGTATAGTTTTTTGTCCAGTTCTCCAAAAGAATCCCGAACACTAAAGAAGGGGAGAAAATACAAATGCTCTAGAGCACAGTGTCATAGCCAGTCTAACGGATGGCTCTAAACTCGATTAAAGAGTAGGCTGTGGAAATAACTCATGAACGCTCTCAATCAATTTGGATTCGAGGCTATTGGACTACTACAGCTTCTTCCCATTAAAACTTATGGCAATCACGCAAGCCGTAGAATAGTTTTTGGGATCTCTGGTTACAAAGCAATCAAACAATATAAACTCACATAGTCAAACTGCCATCAGATTTCTTGAGTTTAATCACGTCACACCAAAAGTTTCGTTAAAATATAGAACGACTTTGAACTCGGCGCTCGGTTAGATGCAACACAGCCCGGACATAGAGAGCCAAAGTCAGATGGGTTTACAAAAAAAAAAACTTTTAATGTGATTAGACAGATCATAGACCGGTTAACTATCAACACCACAATCGGTATACTAACTGGTCACTATTTAATGGAATTTCACGACAGGAGAATGAAATTCTTTTCGAATGAGCTTGGTGTAAGCTGAAGAGTCGAATAAGAGGAAGAGTCTGTCGATCTTTATATATATGCCACTGTCAGACCCTTGCACTATACGACATAAATACCTAGCATATTACTTCTTTGACTGCCTGGCTGATCTAGCAACGGTTGGCATAGGTAGCATCGCATCGTTCATAAGGCACACGAAATTGTTTGTACGTCTGAGAAGGTGAGAAATATTCCACAGCGGTATCACAATGGGCTTTCAGGCCTAAATGCACTCATGCAGAAGGTTGGGACTATCGGTTTTCACAGCCTTCTCTTATGAGGTCAATTCTTAATCAGCCAAATCATTCCCCACAGACGGAAATAGATGGTAAGCACTTGTCTGGATTATAAGGTGGGTGCATAAGAGTCTCACAGGTAAACTCTCGGTGCTTCTGGCTGTCACTTTCGATGAGTGTGTTCTGGCGTTGTCCTGAAGAAACATAATGCCACACCTGCTAGGCAAAGTTGGGCGCTTTTGGGCTTCCTTCATACGGTCCATTTGCTGTTAGTACAGGTACGAATTAAGAGTTTGAATGTAGGGGAGAAGCTTATAGTGGATTATTCCTTACCGGCATCCGCCCAAAATACACAACAAAACCTTCCTGAATGTCGGTTTCGAGACTTGGGCATCGTTTGTGCCAGCTCACAGTCCTTCAATCACTATCGCTTTAGTTTGACGTTGCCGTACGTTATCTATTTTTCATCTCCAGTCATCCTCAGTTTCAGAAATGCTTCGATTTTGTTACGATTCAGCAGTGTATTTTAGTTGGAAATACGGTCATGAGCTTTTTTCCCGTTCACACATTGAGATTTAGCTCCTAGCCAATGGACAATTTCGACAAGTGGAAATTCAAAATTACTAGAACGAAAATGGAGAAACCAAATTCATGTTTCTATTCATATTTTCAGCTGTCTAACTTGCGTTTTCAACTTTATCGTGGAAATTTTGTAGAGGAAAGCTTATTTGTTCTTCGCTACTGGGTCAAGTCAAGAACACTTCTCTCATTAGTTTTTTGGAACGAAATCTCATCTTTTCAACGCGCTTCAGGGTAATCCAATCGAAGTTATAGAAAGCAAGATACAGATAACTAAATCCATGCAAAAATATTGGATTAATATTTAATGATAATTTTAAATTAGAAAAACTCATAAAATTAAAAATAATAATTTTTCAATAAAACCGCTTCACACTTCGCTGTGTTTCAGAAATTATCAAGTAAATTATTGAATAATTTTTTCAATGAGTTCCCTTTGTTTATCGCTGCTCAATCGAAGCACTTCGTGACTGTCCCAACACAAAGAGCCATTAAAGCGTGTAATAATTACAAAAAAAAAAAAATAAATAAATAAGTAACAGTAACTGTATGTACATATACAACACACACATTTGTGTAAATATGTGCCTACATCAATGCAAGCCAATCACAATTTTCCTTGATTTATTTACACAAACTTTCCCCTTCATTTGCAATTGCAAAATGTTTTGATTTAAACTCATCTCTACATTTATTATCGAAGCATTTTTTTTTTTTTTTTGAATTTCATATTATTTTTTGCACTGGCCTTGAGTAAAATTTAATTATAAATAATTGTACGATATAAATCTACACAAATGACGAGAGACATGCCTGTCTATCTGTCTGCTCTTGCTGTTGATAGTTACATAAATACATATACGCTGCTTGACAGGCGCACAAAGTGACCGGGCGACATAGTTGAGCGCTCGAACAAATACCGTCAGACAAACGTGCACACTCTTCAGTGCTCAGCGTCATATTTGTTGGCAGTTTAAGGCTGGCCGACTTGCTCAGCTGGTTGGCAGAGTTTTGTTAACACATCATCGTCATAAATTCAGTGGGGCTCATATCCTCCATACATACCACTGCTGTGGCCATGAAAAAGTCGACAACAAAATAATTGGCTTTACGCTAGGATGTCAATTATAATTATAAAACTTAATTATAGCACTCGTGTAGGAAAAAAATATGTTTTTTTTTTCTTAAAGCTACAGAAAAAATCCGCAAAAAAAAAAAAAATACAGAAATCAATGCAACAAAGTGTAATGTAGGGAATGGCATGTAGGCGCGTTTTCTTGAAGGACACAAAAAAGTAAACAGAAATGATACGTAAAGATAACTAACTGAAGCTGCAAGTGATGAGCTGCCATACAGGTTTTACAAGCGCGGGTATACATTGTTGCATAGTCATGGATTTAACAGAAGGGAAAACTGGAAAAAAGTACAACAAATACTATGCTTGATCGTAGATCATTTCATTTTGATCCATTGACAATTTGCTTGCGTCCATCATTATCATTTAATGGTCCTTGGCAAGCTGGAAAAAGTTTTCTTAAAAGCACTAAAACTGTCGGGGCATATTGGGATTGAATAGATGAATTCTTTGATAAAAAAAAAATTATTTATAAATCGCACTTAAAATATTTATTTAACGATTTTTTCGTCACTAAAATTTCCTTTATGAGCTACTTGGTATAGGTGCCCCAAAAATTTGAATTTCCTTGCCTACATTTTGGCGCATATAAAACAAGTAGAAGCTTAAAGGAAAACGCCTTAGTTAAAATGTCGTTCGTTGCTGAAAGGGTAAAGTCTTACTTTCAAATATATATTAAAATAAAATTGAACATGAAAAGTAAAATCTCAAATATTCAAACTTAAGATTATACAAGTTAGTTGTTTTCTTAGTAAATGTGAAGCGGTCGACAGCTACTTGGTATAGGCAACGATTTTTCTTCTCTTTGAACAATATCCCAAAAACTTGAATTTCATTGCCTACATTTTGGCGCACATAGAAAAAAATACATGCTGAAGAGGCGTTTGGCCTTAGTTTAGAATGTATAATAAAATTAAATAAAATTTATTAAAATTGAAAATTTCAAAGTGAAAAAAATCTCAAAATTTAAAATCATCAGTACGAGTTATTTTTCCTCCACTCTTTTACCTACATTGAACGTTTTTAAATGTTCTTAACCACTGTGGAATACAAAGTAGTCGCAGATGTATTTTTTTACTCCAGCTAAAAAATGCTTCGACTGATAGAGCTGCGAGGACAAATGACAGTTCGTAAATTTTCAACTGAAATCCGATAAACCCAAAGCCAAGAAAATACAAAAAAAAGGATAAAATTTCTGATGTCGTTGCAACATGTTTTGATTGAAAAGTGGCAAGTCGTATTGATTTTACAATGTTTGCCGCCACTACCACGTACTTCATTCGCTGCGTACGCCACCCTATTTTTTTTAATACTGCCTTTAAATGTGCATACATACTACACACAACTAAAACTTTTAGGTTTCTGTGAAAATTCTGTTTTAAGTTGAT